GACAGAGACACAGAGAGACAGAGAGACACAGAGACAGAGAGACACACAGAGACACAGAGAGACACAGAGAGACAGAGACACAGAGAGACAGAGAGACAAAGAGAGACACAGAGACACAGAGAGACAGAGAGACACAGAGACACAGAGACACAGAGACAGAGAGACACAGAGACACAGAGAGACAGAGACACAGAGAGACACAGAGACAGAGAGACACACAGAGACACAGAGAGACACAGAGAGACAGAGAGACAAAGAGAGACACAGAGAGACACAGAGACACAGAGACACAGAGAGACAGAGAGACACAGAGACACAGAGACACAGAGACAGAGAGACACACAGAGACACAGAGACACAGAGACACAGAGACACAGAGAGACACAGAGAGACAGAGACACAGAGAGACAGAGAGACACAGAGACACACAGAGACACAGAGAGACAGAGAGACACAGAGACACAGAGAGACAGAGAGACACAGAGACACACAGAGACACAGAGAGACAGAGAGACACAGAGAGACACACAGAGACACAGAGACACAGAGAGACACAGAGAGACAGAGAGACACACAGAGACACAGAGAGAGACAGAGAGACACAGAGAGACAGAGAGACAGAGAGACACAGAGAGACAGAGAGACACAGAGAGACAAAGAGACACAGAGAGACACAGAGAGACAGAGAGACACACAGAGAGACACACACACACAGACACACACAGAGAGACACACACAGACAGACACAGAGAGACACACACACACACACACACACACACACACACACACACACACACACACACACACACACACACACACACACACACACACACACACACACACACACACACAGGTTATGATGTTTCTATTACAATATCTCGCTTTTGAGATATAATGGAGTTAATACACAGCGTTGCATAAAGGGAAAACGTGTGTGTGTGTGTGTGTGTGTGTGTGTGTGTGTGTGTGTGTGTGTGTGTGTGTGTACCCAGAGGCAGGATGTTGTCGTCAGAGTCGGTGTCGCTCTCCGTGCTGTCCTCCACCAGGAAGTCGGGGCAGTTCCAGGACATGCTGACGATGCCGTCGGACTCGTGCAGCAGAACGTGAGCCAGCATGCGGCCGTGACAGTCCATCACGATCACCTGACCGTCCGCCGTGCCAAACAACACCTGGAAACCAAATATATATATATATTATATATATATTGTATATATATATAATATATGTATATAATATATATACCATACACATTAATACATCCCAATATTAAAAAGTTGTCTTAAATTAAAAAATAACTGTATGTACACACCATGACTCTTAACAGTTAAACGTGGGGACCTGCCAGATGAGATCCAGAGGCGATGCTGACAGAGTTTCATCCTTATTTAAGTCGACAGAGTTGTAGAAATACATGTTTTTAATGTTATATAAGCGCCATTTGGTTTGTGCGATGTGTCTATATGTTAAATAGCACCACATTTGGTTATAATTTAGCATTAACGCGTAGGGGCCTGTTGGGTGCATCAGGCCACGCCTTCACACGTTTGCTAACCAATCTCTGTCAAACAGTAATGCAAAACAAAATCACAAGTTTGTTTCGGGTCATATAAATAAGATATGTACCAAGTTCGGTAAAGATGATATGAACTATGAGGAAAAAGAAGCAATACATTTGCTTACCAACAAATCCTAAAGGGCTGAGACATTTCAAAGGCATTGTTTGGATATGCCTCATTGTTCATGAGTTAAGTCATGTGATAACCTAGACTGTATATAACTGTGATTACTGACCACATGGTGGCGCTATTTAATGCATCCTTTAGCATATTGAGTACCCATGGTGCGCTTGTGTACCAGGTATGATTACTTCCCCATGTGTAGTTTTAGAGATATAAATGAAGACCATTCATAAAGTGATTGCATTAAATGATTCATATCTCAGTAACTGCAGCAGCAGAGTTATAAAACAGACCAATCAGCTTCATGCAGCAATAATAATAATACAGAAGTCCTTAATATGAAGTAGCCGCTGGTCGTCGTGCAGCATTAATAACATTTCTAACTCAAACTTCTTGAATCTGCAGAGTACCTGCTGGTCGTCGGGGGTCCAGATGCCGCAGCTGATCTGACTCTCCAGGTTGATCTCGGAGGACCAGTGTCTTTGTCCGCTGACCGAGCCCACCAACACGAAGCCGTCCCGGTACGCTATCAGAGCCTGAGTGCCGTCATGTGACCAGGTGAAGTCACTCACCTGAGGGGGGGGGGGATATTCACTGTTAAGGTATGAGTGTAAACAGGACACTGCCATTAAGATTACACAAGTCTTGCTCGATTCTGAGCCTGTTCTACACAATATCTGTTTTCTGTTTTCTTTTTTTATTGCTGCCGATTTGTATTCCATATTTTATTCCATTCTATTTTTATGTAAATACTGATATATTTTACTATATTTTGTATATGTTGTAATGTTATTATAGTTTTCGTAAAATATTTCTCTATCTGTGTTTTTCATTTGTGTTGTACTTTTATGTCTGCTCCATGACATCAGGTCAAATCCCTCGTCTGTGGTACCGTCGGGAGTGTGAATATGAGCAGCTTGTACCTGGGCCCCCCTGTCGTTCACCAGCTCCACAGACCAGCGTCCTTCATACTGGATCCAGACAAAGATCCCCCCCTCCATGTCGCAGGTGGCCAGTTTCTGGAAGGGTTCATTCCACCGCACCAGAACCACCTGCAGATCACAAACACTCACCGTGTTATCAAAGAGCAACGCTCAGGATCCTTTCACCCTGAGAGCACAATGTGAACGCTTTCTTCAGGCTAAAACGCAGAATCAAGTCGACGATATCTGAGTCTGTAGATTGAACGTGTCCGAGGAACTAAAAGTATGCCAAGACATAAAGAGTTATCGGTGAGAGCTGCTCCACCTCACTGCTGTACCCCTGCACGTTGAATCCTCTGGGGGGCGCTGTTTAAAGTGTTATGATCATTATAATCAGAGCGTGAGAGCTGCTCCACCCCTGGATGTGTTATAAGCATAAAAGGTCCCCTATCATCCTCCTCTTCATCAATATATCCCAGGTCTCAGATATATTCAGAGCCTGTCTCTGATTGGCTGAAACACCAAACAGATCATTGCAGCATTACCCATAATCCCCTCTGTTTCAGCCAGTGGCGGCTGGTTATTATTTTAGGTGGGGCTATTGTAATGGTGAATAAACCACACGGGGAACATTTTGAGAAATTACCCCTTAAATTAAATTGGCTACACTATTTCATCGTTGCTGTTGTATGATTGGTGTTTAGCTACGGTATTTAGCGTCTACAGCACCTCCGCTTTTAGGGTTGACGTGACCCAAACGTCGCCCGGAGGTCCCCCGGTGTTGTTGCGGGAGCTGCTCGGAGCTGCTGCACTAGCTAACGCTAAACTAGCTAACACTACATTAGCAAAACAAACGCCAATTTCTTTTGCAAAAGGTGCGGCGGGCTTCAAACACGTTCCCCTCCACTGGTTTCAACCAAGCACTAAATTAGATGTTTTCCAACCAAATACGGTTGAACTTACACTTCCCCATATTTATTTGTAAGTAGATTCGAAGATACATGAGTTTCTGACTGCCGCTAGTTGAAGCTTGGTTGCTAGGTTACTAGCTGGGTGTTCTCCGTTAAGGGGCCGGGGGAAACAAAGTTAGTGATTACTGGTTCCATGTTGATTTAATTCAATACAAATTGTTGGGGGAACTGAAAGGCTCTTACCGTACTGGTTACTTTGCAGCCCGGACATTTCCACAAAACACATTTTAGACGCTATCGCAACACAGAAGTACCTTTCAAATTCGATCATTTTTAAGACCTTCTAATTCATATTTAAGACCTTTCTTATTTTTTTGTCATATTTAAGACCTTTTTAAGGCCTTAAATTCAGATTATCAAATGTAAGACTTTTTAAGACCCCGCGGGAACCCTGACTTGCTTTCGAGCAGAACACAGGGGAAAACAAACTTAGCGGGAGTGTTTACATGTTCGGCGTAATGACGTACAACGGCCTCGACAATTTCTGTAGTCCTATTCAGCCACTCGGTAACAACCATCGTTTTTCAGACACGTAAACTCTTCAAAAATCACCAGTGGGGTCACTGCTGATGTATTTAATGTCGTAGAACAAAACGTGATTTATCTCTTAAATTTGTGTCAACCACAGACCTTATTTCGAGCTATTTTCC